GGCATTGTGAAGAAGTCTGGCTCAGTGCATTCTCACAAGGCTGTCTCCTCATCTAATGAAGGCAGGAAGTGGAAAGGACAGATTGATAAGCAGGCTTGAATCTGAACAAATAAAGACCCAAAGCAAAGTGTCTGTAGATCCAGTTGCCACTTCACACAAACCAAATCAACAGAGCAGCAGTAACGCATGTGTGTTATGAAACCTCTGCTGACACCCATCAACCTGCCAAGTCGCTGGAACTGAAAATAAACAGAAAATGAACACGTGAGAACAGAGCCCCACTGATTCACATTGGAGCATCATCATAAAACCATCAGTGTCATGTAAAAGTTGGAAATTTTCGTATTTAAAAAAATTTCAACTTCTCTCAAAAAATTAGACTATGTGTTTGAAACAGAAAGATACAAACAAGTCTCCGTGATTGCAAAGAGGCTGCCCATTAAGCCTGTGTGGGGTTTCATGGATTATTCTATTGTCTGATGATTTCTAAAAGGTAACTGAGTTTGAAATTTAAATGATGTCATAATATAGATTTTCTGGGATGCCACTGATTCTTCTTAGGCCAATTAGCTTTCTTTTCCTTCCTAAAGATGAGATGATGTGAGAATATGCTCTTAGGTAGACTAGGTAGAAGGCAAGCATCCTACCTAAGTAGAGGGTAGGGTGAGTTGGGGTTCAAAGTCTTCTCAGCAAACAGCAGATTTAGCATCAGGAATTGGTTGAGATGGATGTCCATCTTCCCACACCATGCACAAACAGCAGACTTAGCATCAGGAATTGGTCGAGATGGATGTCCATCTTCCCACACTGTGCACAAACAGTCTGCCCACCCAAGATGGAACCTGTGCGGTTTCCTTCCACTTTTGCTCCTGAGTGATGACATCGGGCACGATTTCCCTGTATTTCTCTACTACTAATTAGATGTTAAACTCTCAATATAGCTCTAATTTTAATATTTATTTTGTTTTTTTAAATTATGTGTAGATGTGTGTTTTTGCATATGGGTATGTGCATGTGTGAGTGCAGGAGTCCACTGAGTTGAAAAGAGGGTTTTGGATCCTCTAGAGGCGGAGTTACAGGCAGTCGTGAGCTGCCCAGTGTGGGTGCCAGGAATTGAATTCCAGTCCTTTACAAGAGTATTCCTGCTCTTAACAACTGAACCATTTCTCCAGCCCTGGTATTTCTAATTTTTAAGCCCTCTTTTGGGAGCAACAGGATAATGAAATTTATTAACACATACTACCCAGACACATTTAAATAAAAACTTATAAAAGTATAACTGAGATATGAAAACTATGATATGACTTTACCCAAGCCTTTGGTATTTTAAGGGGAAAATGACCAAACTCAAACCAAGAGAAATGCTTAACTATTTATCCAAAGGTGATATAGCTTAAGTGCCTTGAAATTCTTGGTGATGCAGAATGCAAGGACCAAAGAAAAAGCTGTCACAAAAGGGCCAGTGCAGGATTACCGTGTTGAGAAAACACTGAAGAAAACCGGTTCAAACAAAGGAAAACAGTGGCTAACAGGAGTTCCATTCTCTATTTTCTTGTTATGCCTCAGCTGTATTAGCGTAGCAAATCAACCACGGGGATCCCATTGATATGTTTTCTTTTGCCAAAATCAGTTGGCACGAGCCTTCTGCATTTATTAAAATCATTGCTGAGTCTTTGGATTTGACAAGGAAGTTTTTTAACTTCTAACTGAAATCAAGATTCAAACAATATTTTCACATCTCACACATCTCACAGACAGATACACACATTCATTCATACACACACACACACACACACACACACACACACACAATACTTGAAAAAAGTAACATCAGGAAGAAAGGATCTATTTTGGCTCACAGTTTCACAGGGTTCAGTCCAGGGTCCTTTGTCTTCATGTTTCTGGGCCTATAGTGAGGCAGAACGTCTTGTTGGCATGAACCTGTAGCCAAGGTTGCTCTCTACACAGTTGAGAGGAAGCAGTGAGAGGCAGCTGAGATGAAGGGGCAGGGGACAAGATACATCCTTTTAGGCATGCCTCCAGTGACCAGTGCAGCCAGACCTCAGTTCCTCACATTTCCTTCGCTCCCCGGTGACACCATCAAATTATGAATTTATGAATGGATTAATCCACCCATGAAGTCAGAGCCTTCATGATGCATCATGTCCCCAAAGTCCATTAGCTGACAACCATGCCCTAATACATGAGCCTGTGGGGACATTTCATATTCAAGCCATAACCTCAAAATGGGTTCTGCCCTAGATCATCATGCTGGATTGTGGAAAGCTCAAGAGAATAGCCAGCAGCACTCCATGGCTTATGTGTAGAGTGTATAGAGAACAGAAAACATTGTATCTTTTTTTTTTTTAGCTCCTAGACCAGTTTATGATTTCACTCAAGCATTCAAAGAAATGCGATCTGCAAAACAAAAAAGCTAGATTACAAAGGCCTTTCACGTCTTTACAAACTGCCATAAGTTGTCCATGAAATACATTTACAAGCCTCACTTTTTATTCCAAAGAAAAATTTCTACCTTTAACACAAGAGCAACTTACTTTGCAAATAGACAAATATCATAATGATAACCAACACTGTTAGAGGTAGAGGAAAAGATGCCAAGACAAGAATCTTTTCCATAATGACTAGCAGAATGTCTTGTCAAAGTTAATAATTAAAGACAAGTAAGTTGCTTATTTCACCTATCAAGTCATTCCTGAAAATTGAGAACATTTCATTCCTGGAATGCCAAAGGGCTTGGATAGCACTCTCTGATTTCTGACTATCGCTCAAGTCACAGTGTATAATCTCAGTGCTTTGTAAACAGGAACATGGTTGAAAAAAAAAAAAAGCAATACAACAAACAAAAAACTTTAGAAGAAATCGAAATTTGGAAAGTCATGTCAGAGACTCTGTGAACTACAATAGCCTATAAGATCTTGGAACATATTCAAATAATTGTTAATAATAATTGTTATTTTCTAACCAGAAAAATAATCTACTCAGGAAAGTAATCCATTGTTAACAAGGCAGTGAAGAAGGAATGTGTGAACAAAATGCCTGTCAAATGGTAGGTATTCCACAAAAGACAACTTTCTCATCTGAAAAATGGCATAAGTTCCCATTTCCCAGGAGTGATTTTAGGGTCAAAGAGGACTAACTATCTGAAGCATCCAGCTTCGCACAGTAAGTGCTCAGGACTATTGAAGCCTTCATATACATGAAACCACAGAAGACAGACTGAAAGAATTCACTGTGACTCAATGGTTGCCAAACCACATGGCCTGTTTCTGATTTACCTCATTTAAACTCAGCTCTCACCAGGCATGGTAGTCACGCCTTCAATCATAGCACTTGTCAGGCAGAGGCAGGTGAATCTCTGATCTCCAGCGTGGTCTATATAGCAAATTCCTGGTTAGCTGGGCAATAAGAAGATCTGGTCCCTGTTTCAAAAAAACCCAAAAACCAAACCCAAACAAAACAAAACTAGCAAATAAAAAACTTTACTCTCAAGTATGATTTTATTTATAAATGACAAAGATATTTGGCAGCAAAAAACGAAACCCAAGTAGGAAACAAAATCAATATATTAAACTTCAAAAACCGAAAAGCAAAACAAAACAAAACCCCAAACATTGTATCTTTTATCTTCCCTTGAAAATTATTTGGATTTTTTGTCTTTGAACTTTTCATATTATTCCCCCTCCAAAAAAGGGAAAGCCACTCTTACAGTTGAGATGTACAAAATGGGCTTCTCCATCTCTTAAACTTAGTACTTTGTTTTAGGTGGAACTAAAAAACCCTAGGACTTGAGACATATCGTAAAGTAGTCAAAACATCAAAAAACTGTTAAGATGCGAACTGCAGTACAACCAGTTAGTCGGAGCTACCGTGACTGTCTCACCTGGGTTTCAAAATGGCCTTTATGTTGTGTGGCCACTCACAGTCCTAGCCCGCTGGCCAGAGTCATCCTTTAAATCAAGTCACTCCTCTGCTCAGGACTCCTCAGGGGTTTCTGTCTCCCTCACAATAAATGCTTGCAAGCTTCAACCTGATCCAACCCTTGCATTCTGGAACCTCTGTCTTCATTTCCACTCAGATCTCTGTTGCTCAAGCCACACCGGGCTCCTTGCTGATCCCAAACAAGCAGCACAATCCCACCTTGGGCTCTTGTATAGACTGTTTCCTAATCTCTCAAATGTTGTTTGAGCAACTCTGTCCTATCCTTTAAGTCTTTCTCAAATCTGTGATCTTGAAGAGAATTTCCATGATCACGCTACTTAAATTTTCTCACTCAATGATGCCTATCTCTGGCTCTCATTTTTTCTGGTCTATTTTCTATGTTCCATTGCACCTCTGGTTTAACTATGTGCTTCTTTCCTAAGTGTGGTTAGCCGTCCTCCATTCGGGTATAAGCTGCATGAGGACAGGGCTTTTGTCTGTTTTCTTCACACATGGCTTGCTGATACTGTTGAGCACCTGTATTAGCTAATTTTCTGTTGCCCATAGAAACACTGACCAAAACAACTTATAGAAGGAAGAGTTTATTTGAGCTCACAGTTCCAAGGGGCAAGAGTCCATCATGGTGGGCAGGCATGGCAGCAGAGTTGTGGGAAGAATGTCATATTCACTCCTACAGATATTACTGCAAAGTGGATTTTTGCTCAGGTTTCACTTAATGAGAAGCCTGTGAATAGGGGGAATCTGGATCAGAGGTGGCTGGAGAAGGATGGGAGGCTAAGCTCTCACATCCTCAAGCAAGCTCAGGAAATAAGAGAGCGACTGGGGCTTTGGCAAGGCTTAAGAACTCTCTAAAACCGACCCCCAATGTCATGTTTCCTCCAGTATGGCCACACCTTCTAAGACCTCCCAAAACAGCGCCACCAACTGGGGACAAAATGTCTAAATACTTGGAGCCTGTAGGGGACATTCTCAATGAAACCATTCCCAGCACTCGGTACCCAAGAATGCCTAGCACATTCTTGGTGTTTATTTTTACTTTTCAAAATATAGAAGACCTCATAAATTTGTGTGTCATCCTTACTTCTGGACCATGCTAATCTCTGTATGGTTCCAGTTATCATGTATGTGCTGTTGAAGACAGCGCCAATAAATATTTTTAATGTTTTATTTATGTTGAAAGCTAATTAATTCAACTTTGCATTGAAAGAAATTCTGTCTTTGGGGATGGAAAGCAGAGCAATCTGACTGGACTCACTGGGCTGGATGTGAACACCATCAATCAACACCAACTCTTCTCAGGTCTCTCATGATAGTGTGGCTTTCTGAAAAATTTTTCGAAAGAATCGTCATCATATTTAACATCTATTTCCTGGAGAGGATGGGGAAGAGCCATGGAGAAGTCAATTATCAGTCCTGCTATGTTTTTGTAGGCCAGGTCCAGTCACCCCACAGGTGCCGGGGAGGTAAAGGCAAGTGGAGGTGTTAGATGTCTGCTCCAGAGGAGCATCGGGAGACTGCCCAGACTTTAATTTGAAGCACCAGGTGACTCAGAAAACAATTTTATTGCCATAAAAATGACAGCCTCCCTTTTTTTCCACACAGGGGGAAGGTTCCTCCTCATTCTTGTCGGAAACTTGCCTTGAGGATCCCTCTGTCCCCCCCAACTTTACTCCCCCCAACCCTCAAGCTCTCAAGTGATGAGCACCGTCCTTCCGGCCAGGTAGGACTGGATGGGAGGGGTGGATCTGAGAGAAGGGTGGTATGCGGCCATGCCCTGTGCAGGCAGCGAGGACTTGTCTCTTCGGTCTTCACCCTCCCTTCTCCACAGTCCCATCTGCTTCCCGTGAAAGTTCCAGCACGTTCCTTTCCTCTCCTGCCTTCCTCTGGCGTTTCTTCATTGTGCTTTCCCTAACTGACATAAACTCGGTTCTTCCTCCTTCTTCCTTGCGCTTCTCGTTTGCAAAATGGATTCCTATTTAATCTTTCTTTTGTCCATGTGTGCTCTTAGTCCGTTCTTCCCACTTTTGAAACATTTTCCAGCGGTCTTCACTGCCTTTTTCTTCACAGTCATCATTTCTTAAAACACAGTGCGAATCTGTCAGGGAGTCTTCCCTGCCCCTCCTCTCCTTACCACACTTCTCTTTGGAAAAGCCCAAAGAAATTCATTTTCTTACCACATGACATTTTGAGCTGAGAGGGCAGCTCACGAGCTTGACTCCGTAGAAGCAGGAGAGCTTGAACATCCTCTGCAGGGGGACGCTGGGTCAGCAGCTAGTGAGTGGAGCCGACGAGGTTTGGAGGGAATCTATACTTTCAGAATGGATTTCACTCACCAGTGGAGACACACTGTGAATCCTTTGTATTAGTTTAACAGATCTGAATACTGACCCTTGCCATTCCAGAGGGTGCACATTTGGGAGGAGAAATGAGGCATTCTTGTGATTCAAAAAAATCGAACTTGTAATAGCACAATAGGCTAGTTAATTATGGCTGGCAACATTTAATTGCATATTACAAAATGATTAGTAGGATTTTGAATGTTTTCAACACACACAAAATGATGTATGTTTGAGACGATGGATATGCCAATCACCTGACCTGACCCTCACATGCCATGAACGAAATATCGTAACACACCCCATAAAGATAGTTAGAAAACTGAAAAATTAGAAATTAAAAAGAATTGAAAATATTTTAAAATAAAACAATCTTTTCCTTTAAAAATACCCAGATGTCTTAAAGAAATTTACTGATCACTTTACTCTTTGGTTGTACTTTCCTTTTGGGTGTTTAAGACCATACAGTTGGCCTAAATAAATCAATTTATTTTTACACTTAAGTTTGTTTGAGGATCTGTTCCTCAGGAGTCTCATGGGCTTGGGAGGAGTCCCTGGCTCCTTTCTTTTACCAATTCCATCTCTGTGAAGATAAGTCAAATATCCTGCTCCACCATGGTCACTTGGAAACATGGAGGAAATGTTTCCTCTGAGTTGACCCTCCTCTTTGTAGACTGGACACTGGTTCAAGTCGATCTGGTCCATGGCCTCCCTGAACAAGAGGACAGGTGACTCACCACAGTTACAGGACATTTTGAGAGATGTTCCATAGTCCCCTGGAACTTAGTCGACCTTGGAGGGCAAGGGGCAAAAACTGTCCTTTAAGCACCTCTGACAAGATTAGTATAGGCCTCCAAGTATGGCTGTTAGACATCCAATAAGGTTAGTTCCACCAGTCCAGTACTTTTAATTACCATGTGCTATGTAGATAAAGCTTGGGTAAAAAACCAAGTATTCTTAGATAAACCTTGACTAGATATATATTTTGTTCCTTAAACTAGTTGACTAAACTATGACCTTAGAAATTTTAAGATTATGTGTATATTATTTTTGTGTCATCCCTTATGTATTCCCAGACATTAGGCTTAAGTCCATATAAAAAGTTATTTAGACAGTTATTTCTCATTGATGATTTTGTTCCTAACCAGAGAGTGCTGCTCAGATGTAAGATTTCAAATCTTGGCCTGTAATACTGTAGTGCCCACCTGTAGCTAAGGGAGATAGCCTGCTGCTGTTCTAAAAATGATGGCTAAATTTGTTTTCTCCTCCTATCTAGAAGCCTTTGAGAGGGAACTGACACTGATTCTAGCCACTTCAACGGCTATCAAAGTGCCTGAAAGCAAATCCTGAATTCACTCTTGAGTCAGCCTTGAGACAAAAGAAAAATGAGGAGGAACCCAATAGAGGGATGCTTTTAGAAGCCCTTGTCAAGAAATTTCAATGGACTCTCATATGAACATTTGAAAATTGCCCTGTTCTGACTTTTTTTCTAGTTCCCTGTCTAGAACTTGTCATGCTAACTACTCTTGCCTTTACTTCTCCTTCACATCTATTCACCAGTCAAGGACTTTCTTTCCCCCCCTACAGATAAGAGTTGTGCAATTTGGGAGTCTTTTAGATAGACCCACTGAAGGGGTACCCCAGTTGCCTCACCCTGCATTCCTGTTCAGCATGGAAGAAGCTAGAGTGGTCTGCATCCTGATTCCTTGTCAGCAAGTTGGGTAACTTCTTCAGAGGATGATGTGATAAGGAGGCAGGAATTGACTAGGCAGTTAGACCCCACAGAAAAGTAGCCTTTTTCTTGGCTAAAAGTCACAATGTCCTTGGGATTCCTAGCAACATTCCAAAGGCCAGAAATGTTGAAAGTATCTGGAAGCTTCTATCTAATCCTTTAAAGATATTTAGGGTTACCGCTTCAGATGGAGGAGTATTAGAGTAGCAAAAAGCCCCCCCCCAAAAAATAAAAGGAGTACATGAAGTTATCAGAAAAAAAGTGAGATCTGGAAGCTTCTATCTAATCCTTTAAAGATATTTAGGGTTACCGCTTCTGATGGAGGAGTATTAGAGTAGCAAAAAGCCCCCCCCCAAAAAAATAAAAGGAGTACATGAAGTTATCAGAAAAAAAGTGATGGGAAGATATGGGAGGTGTTGGAGGGGAGGGAGTGGGCATGAATTTGATCAAAACATTTTACATGCATGTATGAAATTCTCAATAAATTATTTTTTAAAAAACTAATAAATAGCAAGATGTGGTGCTAGAGAGATGGCTCAGTAGTTAAGAACACTTGCTGCTTTTGCAGATGACCTGGGTTTGGTCACCAGCACCCACATGGCAACTAACAACCATCCAAAATACCAGTACCAGGGAATCCAGTGCCATCTTCTGGCCTCCATGGGCATTGCACACACATGGTACACTTACATACAGGCAAAACACTCATACACATAAAATAAAAATAAATTTTTAAAAATTTAAATAGCAAGATTCTATTCTGATGTAACAAAATAGAGTTCTATAGTCAGGCCTGAAATTGTTTTGTTTTTTTTTTTCCTTCAAATATTTGTTGATTTGTGAAGTAATGTAATTTTGGAATATGTCCATAAATGGCTACAAACTACTTGTTGAGGAAGAGAAGTACATTCCTGTACCTCCACACATCTCTACACACCTCCACATACCTCCACAACTCCACCCACTTCCACATACCCATACATACCTCCACAACTCCATACACCTCCATGCACCTCCACATACCTCCACACACTTCCACATACCTTCACACACTTCCACACACCTCCACAACTCCATACACCTCCACGCACCTCCACATACCTCCACACACTTCCACACACCTCCACACAACTCCACACACCTCCACAACTCCATACACCTCCACACACCTCCACATACCTCCACACACCTCCACATACCTCCACACACTTCCACACACCTCCACACACCTCTATAGCACTAGCCAAGGTTTAATGGGTCTGTGAATTACTTGGGCATCGTATTAAACAGCACATCCTGATCCAAGAGGCTCCAAGGCTGGGCGGAAGAATCTGCCTTTCTAACCACCCCGTTCATTTTCTGATCCAACATGTCACATTCCTGTGACCACATTATGACTGCAAGGGTTCTAGAACATTCCTACCTCTATCTTAAACATGTGGAAGACACTTTTAAGCTGCCTTTGTAGCACTGTTTTATACTTAAATTTTGCTTTTATCCAGTCACAAGCTTGGCCCTTTTATATCTTTATTTGAGAGAGAGAAAGAGAGAGAGAGAGAGAGAGAGAGAGAGAGAGAGAGAGAGAGAGAGAATTTGAGAACAAAGTCATAGCCTCATCATGATTTCTGATCATGGCCTCTCAATAGTGTCAGTTGTGCACCAGTGTGACCCTGTGACACAGCTCTTGCTGCAAAGGTAGACAGAATATGGATTTTCATCTTCTGTAGGCGGCCACAGAGAGAGCTTGAAAATGCCTTATTAATTTGAGTATGAATGCTAAGACTTCTTTCAATTATGAGCATCACTGGAATTTCAGTTGTTGCTGTCCCAGTAGTAGTAGTAGTAGTAGTAGTAGTAGTAGTAGTAGTAGTAGTTGTAGTAGTAGTGTGTGTGTGTGTGTGTGTGTGTGTGTGTGTGTGTGTGTGTATGGGGGCAGGGAGGAAGCCACAGCACACATATGAGGGTCAGAGGACAACTTGCAGGAATCAGTTCTCTCCTTCCACCCTGTGGGTTCCGGGGACGAACTCAGGTTGCCAGCTTTGGCAGCAAGCCCCTTTACCCACTGATCTACTGC